GCCGTTTCCGTGGCCGCGGACAATGTTGCCGGTCCACAGAGCTGTCCACCGATAATCGAATGGGAGGAGACGGATCGTTACTCCTTCGACGACTCCGATCGCTTCGAGGAGGATTCTTTGTGCAGCTGGAGCAGCGAGACAGAGTCGTTGAGCAACAACTGGAGGGGATGGCGACGACCCACTACCGGTTTCGGCACCACCAAGAAGTCCCCCGAAGGTGAGTCCAATGTTTTTGTATCGGATAGTATGTATGGTCGATATAGTCTGCTTTGGAATTTTTTTCTTAATAGTTATTCGAGAGGTTAAGAGGAAGGAATTTGAAATATTACATTTGAGAAGATATGTTAAATAAAATGAGAGAAAAAGAACGATTCATTTTCACTCTCTTGTATTGTTACGTTACTAGGTATACCGTATTACGTATGAAGATTGTTTGTGGGGGAGGGGGGCGACCTTGCGTAACTACTTCATCTCGAATAGACCATAGGCCATTTGTATTACACCATTCCGTACGTGTCTTTTGTTTGTACGTACATTTCACGTTCATCGCAGATTTAGGGTAAGGTTGGATTTGTGTTGTGGTTTCAAAATGAAGTTGACGAAATCTACCAATCAATCTAAGAGTTCTAACGTATAGATAGAAATGTGTATACAGGGGTGAGATTCTGTTTTGATCTATAAATAATTAGAATTGAGAACCTTTCGAATTTTTTTCATTTATTTCAATCGAGTCACACTGGAATCATCACGTATAATCGTTCGCGATGACATGCAGAAATAGAGTCGTGAAACTTTTTTTCATTCAGTCACTTTGGAATTCGTTAATTTCCCATTTTCATTACTTCTTCGCTTAATCGTCGACACCGCGATCAGTCAGCTGGTCCAATCAGGCAGGTCTATTATCTTCTTCGGTAGGTAAGAGGTGTGCGCCAGTGTCGCCACGTCCGTGAGACGAGCGTGTGCGTGTTGGGGGGCGATGCATTGTAATTCTCGCGCCTCTTTAAACCATCGACCAAGCTGCTCGCGCACAGCGTATGACGCATACGAATTCCACGACCCGTTGCCACAACCGAGCAAGGTTAATGATTTCCCATCTTCCTGATGCATCGTCACGTTCCTTCGAGCTCGTTTCATTCTCACCGTTCCTCCATCTTTCGCAATCCTGACGTCAGATCTTCCTCCGCCCATATGTTTTTCAGCCGCTTAGTATCCGCGTTTTCCTCGACGCTCGCGCCATCTGTTCGAGCTTTCTCCACCAGGCGTCTTCGTTTTCTTCCTTTTTTTTTTGTTTCTTTTTTAACGTTCGCCGCCGTTAGATTTCCTCGCGGAAATATCTCCATGAGAGAAAGTGGGCGTTACAACCAAGGGAGTGAGGGGGAGAAAAGTTTTAAGACAGATTATACTTTCTGGCCGGAGTGTGGAACGCTTTCGATTGGAAGATTCGTTCTGCAAATTCACTTTTAGGAGGTTACATTTACTTGACACTGAAAATCCGGCGTAAAAATCCAGGAATTTTTATAGAAAATTTGTAACAATTAGAAAATCGTTCGTCTTTCTTCAAATTTGAGAAATTCTTGAAAAAAAGTGAGATTAAAACTATAATTTAAAAAATTCATTCAATGTTAATTCTTTAAGCTGCATAACTTTTCGAATTTCACGAGGAATTCGTTGGAAATTTATTTCACATACTTGAAACTATCGATTGGACGAGAAAAAGTTGGGTTTTTTTTGACTCGAAGGTACTGAATTGCCTCCTTAAGGTAAATCAAACCGAAAAAACGGTGTGATCGAAGACTTTTTTTTTCCCTTGGCAACTGTAATTCAGTTGGCACGTGGCCAGTGTGCGCGTGCGCCGTCGAAATTACTCTCTTACCGTTGCTCCCGAACGCACATTACACCTTGCGATAATAATTTGCTACATGGTTGCACGTTGTGAGCCGAAGCGTGAAGCCGAGGTCGATTTATTTACCTGGACGTCGAATCGTGTCGCGTCTGTCGCAAAAACTCGTTCCTCCTTTTGCAGTTGTGCAATTTTTCATCGAGTGACAACATCTGGTAAACAAAGTCGACAGTGTCCCGATCATTTTTATACCAATCGAACGTGATACACGATACATTCACAAAGAGAGAGAGAGAGAGAGAGAGAATGAATTGAAATTCTTACGACGTTGCTCTGGAAAGATTATTTTTCCTTTTTCTTTCGTCCCCTCTGCAACCGTTGCATCGATAATGCGCGAGAATGATAATAGATAAAATGATTTCGCGTAAATAATATCCCTGATTTTATGGTTCCGTCTTGGTGTTGGAAGATAGAAAGCGTTAACAAACACTGTTTCATAATATCCAATCGTTATCGGCCACGTGAGATTGTTTCATAAACATGACGCGTATAATAGAGGTATTACCATTGTTAAGTGCATCAACGGAATATTATCACATTCAGTTGAATCTATCGCGAAGTGTAGGAATATTCTTTCGGAGAAATCTTAATTTAGTGAGTGAATATAAAAAAAAAAAAATAGAAACGTGCTATTTAGTCGAAATAACTGAAAGGAATCTCTTATGAAAAACATAGGACTTGCACCATGTAGAGAGCTATGTGTATAATTAATAGTTTAAGTACGGTAAAACTCCACATTCTTTGAATTTCAATATCAGCACTATATAGATGGTTCCTATGTTTTCCACTCCGTGTATATAAACAGCGATATGGTAATACGAATTGTGTTTGAACTATTTATTGAAAGATACATCTGTACAATGTATAACACAATGATAGATAAAAAAAAAAATGGAAATGATCTGCCTCTCTCTGTTCGTGAAGCTTTCGTTCCTTGACCTCGGTCGTCTAGGGGTTAAATGTCTTCTGAAAGGGTAGTACAGTATCCTATTACCCTGAGAAACGTACATGAGGAAGATTCGGAACCAGTCCCTTCTGTAGGACCAACCGGTGAACAACTCGAACTTTCCAATCGAAACGAACGATTCTGTGAGCGATACGAACACCGCAACCGTTGCCCGCCCGAGTCATTCTCAGCGTGCATACACGCGCATACACATACACACACACATGCACGCACGCGCTTCGACTCGGTATGGCGAAGAAGAGGGGAAGTAAGATTTCACTCGATCCTCGCCGCTTCTCCCGGGTATATATGCTCCTTTTCTTTTTCTCCACGGTCCTTGCTCCGTCGCGAGGCGATCAAGGCCGAGAAAAAGAGCAAACGGAGAACAGCGGAGATACAGATAGAGGGAGAGGGAAAGAAAACGAATCGTACTCGCTCTCGTTCGCCGCGCGTAAACACAGGCTCTCTCGGCTTGCGTCCGAGATTTCGTGCACGCTGCCTGCCTGTGCCTGCCCGTTTGAATTTTATCAGGCGAGACGGTTTACCGCTAAGGTATGCTAATTTATGCGTATTCCGGCGAATTAACGCGTTCGTTTTGAAACGTTCGATTAAGTGAATTTTACGGCGACGGCGTAAAAGTAATTTTGTCGTTGAACGCCCTCTGTGACGAAAAAACAAAAGTTAATAAGACGAGGGTGCGGTTGGTTATCCACGGTCGTCTACAGGGTGACCTAATTTCATTTGTAAATTAACGGATACTTTTTTCATCGAATCGAATTAAAGAGAATTTCGAAGGAGGAGAATACTGATGCATCGAGAAATCAAGTATACAGGGTGGAGTTACCAAGGTCACTCTAGAATTACTCTTACCTAACCTACTCTCGAGAAGTATGTATTTCGTTCAAGTCGTATCTACTGTCGTTTCGTAAAAACAGCGGTAATTATCCCACATGGACTCGTTCGTTTTTACCTAATGTATTCGCCAAATTACGTTAATTTACAATGTAAAACGGGTTACCCTGTACGTAGTAGATCTGGAGATTATGAAAATGGCCGGTTTTTTAATATGTTCCAAAGGTATCTCGGGATGCTTTAACGGCTCTGCCATAAAGGCACGTGGTTATTTTTAGACACGGTCCATTTATGACGCCCAAGGAACACAGTTCCCCATCCGTTGTGCTTTAATTTTCCGTTAATAAGCATGCACGTGCGCGCGCACGTCAGTTACGTTGTTTTTAAACGGTTTCCCTTCGTCGATGGATTACGACACGCATTTCCTTCTCTTTTCTTTTTTTTTTTTCCCTCTTGTTTCATCTACACAGAGAACAACCACCACCATCACCACCCCCTTAAGAATTGCGACCACGTAGAGAAAGTATCTCATTTTACTTTCTCGACGCATGCGTGCACGCGGACCGCATGCATTTAGAAAGTACAACGCTTGTTCCTGGAGTGTCGTATTCGTTCGGTCTCGTGTTCCACGAGCGTGGTCACGTCGGTTCACCACGACACTGCGATCGCTTCTGTCTAGAATTTTCAAGGTTATCGTTCATCTGCAACTATGCTGTCACGCGACGGTAATTTGCTACTTTCTGACGTGCGGCGGATACGCGTTGATTGTCGACTCTTGTTTTCCACTCACATTCTACCGACGAATTGTTAACATTCGACGTTAAACTGCGCATGCGCGTGCGCGCGCACCACGAACGTCTGGGAAATGCTCCGTCGCGTCGGTAACATCTTAAATCGTTCGACTCTCTAAGAATTCTAATGTAAAATTCCAAGTTGAAGAGTTTTAACCCACGTAAGGCTGATTGTTAGAGGCCGACTAATAAACGAGTGCTCGAGTCCGTTCGGACCCGTAATAACTATTACGATTTGCGTTGGCACGAGGTTCTCATTGTCACCGCAATTTATTCGATGAATTTCTCAGACGCAAACAAGTGACTTGCATCGCGTGTCGCATAACACATTCGCGTCGGGGCGTTTGGAGTCGCACTCGACATCGATTCCTACAATATTTTAATTACAAATTGAATTTACGACAAGAATTTTGAAAGTTTCTTAGGAAGATCGATTTATTGTCACGAAGTGAAAGGGAATACTTTCTAGCAATTCAGTTGAATTAGCTTCCGGTATGTATCCATTATGGCGGGGGGGGGTTTCATTAGCCGCCGCGTGACGAGCAGGGCGACGACGTCGTCGACGCGTCACCCGGTATATATGCAGCAAGTGAGAGCAACCCTGGCGCACATCTATGACACGCCTATACCTATTTGGAAGCGTGACAGCTCGAGACGGTGTACGGTCACGCACGCCACGCCGTCCGGATTTCAATTAGACTAATGCATCGGCAACGGCACCGAGAACA